ATCCATTCATCCATTGAAGGGCATCTGGGTTGGTTCCACAGTCTAGCTATTGTGAATTGTGCTGCTGTGAACATCGATGTGGCAGTATCCCTGTAGTACGCTCTTTTAAGGTCTTCAGGGAAGAAGAAAGATGAGAAGGGTCCAACTTCCCTTTCAGAGAGGAGAGACTGACAAAAGATAAGCAGGCTATCTTAGTAGGCTAAGGTTCAAATAAATGCTATAATCATAACTGGGCAACTGGTGAAAAAGTCACACAAATAGCCCAAAGTTCTTTCACATACACTGGGTAAGCATTACAAGAAGTGTGTTACTTAGTTTAGAGGGCACTTGATTGGTACAGTGGATATTGGATTTCTGGTAATAGAACTAATTTTAGAAAGCACCAAACGGTAGGCCTGAGCCTACTATATTTTAAGATTCTAGAAACCTGGTGTAAGGCAAAGGGATTTCTATTGGCTAAAGTTACTAAAGCCAGACGTGTAAATTCTGCTTTCAACTTCTAAAACTAGTCTGAAGCAAGCATATCAGAGTCTATTGCAGTCAAGTCCCTTGAGGCCTTTAAGGCTTTTGAGCCTCTAATGAATTTTTTAGGTTGTAGATGTACTAGATGTTCTTATCAAGCTCACAATTTAAGTATTGGATCACTTTAGTAACCAAAGATATTACCCAGTTGTATTTGTAATCTAGAAGTCTGTCTTTCACACTTGATTGAAAAATGACATCCATGTGTATCTTAAAATGTTTGAGTAAGTTTAATGGAAACTGATGTTAATTAATTATAAAATGTTAAGCTTTCAAGTTTAGTTCCACAAAAGTGATTTTTTATTTTATTCACTTAGTATTCAGGTGAAGATCCTACAGATAATACAAGAGAAATTAAGTTCTGATCATGTCTTCCTACTGAATGTCAGGTTTTATTGAAATCAAATGATTACAAGACTAGCCTTACAAAAATTGTAACCCCCCTGCTCATGAACCATAGTAAGGATATTTAACATTTCTGCCTCATCTTCCACCTAATTTTTTCAACATCTATCCAACCTGTTGGTAACTAAATCCTCCAAATTTGTCACTCTTTGGTTCTCAACCATACTATAATTGCTTAGTGTTCTTATGACTAATTGTATCTTCCCCACATACTAGCTTAATCCTGATAGTATTTCTCTTGTGTTTTGTATCTCTGTGTAGGTTGCCCTTGATTTTTCTTGGCATCTTAAATCACTATTGACACAAATAAAGAAGTGTTTATCTCTTGCCTCCTTGGCCGAGACTAGTCCTATAATGCATAAAGAGAATGTCCAGTACTAATTTGGATTATATCAACTAAGAAAATGTGACATATTAAAAGGTCCACTGGAAGTCAAGGGAATGAAAACAGAAAGAACAGGAGAAAGAGGTTAGAGGGCTCCAAAACAAACTATTTCACAACATTGCCTTGTTTTTAAGTATTTGCCAGCTTTGACAAAAGGGTAATGGCATTTTCCCCTCAAGGTTTTGTGTCATAATAAAGTCGTTTATCATTTATTGTAAGATAAGTGCCTGGGTCTATCTTAGGTACCTAAGACATTAATAAATGAAACAGATCTTTGCCCTTAAATTCTAAGAGTTAGCATTTTAAACTTAGATTCTAGTAGCTGGAAATAAAGATAATGACAGATTTATTGAGCATGTTAGTTTCAAGTAGAGCAGGGTAGGGAATCATCAAGATTGCAAAGTCAGGGGCTAGGGTTGTGGATCAGCAATACAGCGCTCGCCTGGCACATGCGGGGCACTGGTTCTATCCTCAGTATCACATAAAAATAAAATATTGTGTCCAATTACAACTAAAGAAAAAAATTTAAAAGATTGTAAAGTCAACTACTTTTTCATTATATATCACATATGCTGTCTCATGTTCATTAATGAAACTGCATTTTTATTCCATTTATTTATTCTTGGTTTTTTGGAGAGAGGGTTGGCCTCACAATGGGTTCTAATGACCTACCGACCTCAGCCTCCTGAGTCGCTGAGACTATAGGTGCATGCCACCACACCTCGCTAGAATGTACATTTTATATCTCCAAATAATTTTGCTTTTCCAAGGCCCCATAGCTTTCCTTATTCTATTTGGTAGTATCAAGATCCTTTATTATAGCCTGGTGTGGTGGCGCACTCCTGTAATCCCAGCATCTCAGAAGACTGAGGTAGGAGGATTGTGAGTTCAAAGGCAGCGCAAGGCCCTAAGCAACTCAAACCTTATTTATTATTTGGAGACAGAGTCTCTAAATAAAATATAAAAAAAGGGCTGGAGATATGGCTCAGTGATTAAATGCCCCTGGATTCAACCCCTAGTACCAAGCTGGGCGGGAGCACATGCAGTGAGATCCTATATTACATATCTGACCCATTATGCCAAATTATTTTTTTCTCTCCTGGAGTTCATGAAGCCTTAGGGCCTCTGCAATAACAGCACCTACCTCAGACTTGGGAAATCAGCCATTCATATGGCTGGCTCCTTCAAATTCATGTCTGTTTGGACATCTCAAGCTTCCTATGAATGATCTATGCAGGGCACATTACCTCATCTTAATTCCCAGAAAAAAAAAATGCTAAGATTCCCTTCCTTAGAATTACACTTAAAATACTGATGTTTTGGTCACTGTGGAATCCCAAACACCTATGATTCTTCAGTAAGATATCTAAAATCATTCTCTGTGTGGTGGTATTAAACTTTTGTACTTTAACACAAATACATGGAAGCTAACACTTGCTTAGCATGTATGAAACCCTGGGTTCAATCACTAGAACCAAAACAAAATGCAGAAGTATCCCAAAATAAACAACCACTAAATATATCTCAAGGAACTATAAAAACAAGAAAAATCCAAATCCAAAATTAGTAGAAGGAAAGCTATGAACATAAGAGAATACCCATAAAGTAAAAAAAAACAAAAAACAAAAAAACCAAACAAACAAACAAACAAAAACAGAATACTCAAAGTAGGGGAAAAAAAAACAGTGAAATGAAGAAATGAGCTGGTTGTTCAAAAGTATAAACAAATTACAAATAAAAAATAACCAGAAAAGGCATTTAATAGAATTCAACATCTCATCATATAAAAATCCTGAATAAAATAGGTATAGAAGGAAAGTACCTCAACATAAAAAAGGTCTAATAAGGTCACATGTAAGCCAATAGCTAACATACTTAATGGGAAAAGCCAAAAGCTTTTTTGTTCTAAAATCTGGAATAATAAACGGATGCCCACTTTCACTACTTTTATTCAACAGTATTGAAGTCCCCAAAGAATCAAAAACATCATGAGCAAAAAAGAAGAGAGCCGAAGGCATTATAATATCTGATTTGAAGGCAGGTTTTACAAAACCATCGTCACCTACACAGGATGGTACTGGCATGAAAACAAGACACACAGACCAATGGGACAGGAGAACCCAGACATGATCCCACACATTTATAGCCAGCTGGTTTTCAACAAAGATAACAAGATCATACACTGCAGAAAGGAAAAAGTCTCAATTAATGGTGCCAGGAAAACTTGATGTCCACAGGCAGAAGGAAGAAAACTAGACTCCTGTCTCTCACCAGTTACCAAAATCCAAGCAAAATGGGTCAAAGACCTGAAACTGTGAAACTACTGGAAGGAAACTGGGGAAACACATCAGGACATTGGGATGGGCCAAGATTTTCTGCACAAGACCCCCAAAGCACAAATAGACAAAAGGGACCACGTCTATGAAGTGCTAAGCAAGTCTCTTAAATACAAAGCAGGGCTAGGGATGTAGCTCAGAGGTCAAGTACCCTGAGTTCAATCCCTAGTACTC